CTTCATCTAATGAACTCCTATTTTCAAAAAAAGCCCCAAAGGAAGTGGAACTAGCGTGGCCCCGAAAACGTGACGAAAAATGAGATTGACTTCCTCATGACGTACAAAAATTATATACTCAGAGATGTCTCAGTGATCAATAGATTTAATACCGGAAACGATCACCGACTTGTTCGAGGCACTCTGAATATCGATTAAGATTGAAAGAGCCCGTCTAATGAAGACTACGCTCCGTATAAATGTCTTTCAAAACGTAGCGGGATCTCAACGTTTTCAGTTGGAACTCCGGAATCGATTCGATGTCCTAAAACCCACATTGGACATTGACGAGGATTTCACTAGTGGGGTAAGACCTTAAGAGATGAGAGGCATAGGCACTCAGATGAGACACTTCAGCTCATGCAAAAGCGACTTGAGTCAATATCATCCGCGCCATCAGAACAGTTGGCACTCACCAAACTTGTAAAGAAAGCTGTACGGCGGGACCTGCAGCGCTCTAATGCAATCCTCATTTAAGAGGCAATAGAGCGTAACAAGGATCCTGAAGTCTTTACTCGTAGGCTTGGGAGGAGCCACATTACGAAATTGACTACACATGACGGCAAAACCCTCACGCCAAACCTGAACTTCTCGCTGAGATCGAAGGCTAATACGGTACACTATATGCTTCACAAAATCAGCAACCTGACCCCAAATATGAAGACACACACACACTAACTCGCCACTTTACCGACGAGCTGCCAGATATCTGTCTAGAGGAGATCAAGTTGGCCCTCAGGCAACTTAAAAATGGAAAAGCCCCTGGAGTGGACGGAGTTATAACAGAGCTCTTGAAAGCGAGGGGACAACCGCTGCTTAAAGAGCTCTGTTGAATTTTTAACTGCGTTTTACGAGGTTGAGAGAACTGCGATGACGTGGAGCAGAAGCATCATAGTCTTGTTTTTCAAGAAAAGTGTCAAGACAATGTTAAAGAATTATCGGCCCATCTCGCTTTTGAGCCACGTTTATAAGTTCTATAAGTCTATAATCGACTCATGCGGAGACTTGACGAATTTCAACACCCGAGCAGGCTGGGTTTTGAGGAGACTATGACACCATAGACCACATTCACACAGTTAAGCAAATTATACAGAACATGAATGAGTATAATCAGCCTCTGCGTCTAGCTTTTGTGGACTAGGAGAAAGCCTTTTATTACACCGAGACTTGTTATAAATTCCGAAAATATTTACAGAAAATATACAGAAAAGAAATACAGAAAATATAAGTTAATTTAAAATGTAATTTTTGCAAATATAATATTTGCTAATTTTCGGTACCAAAATAATTTTTGTTTTTATTCTAGTTTAAAACAAACCCTAGTTTTAACTTGTGTGCCAATTTTCATAATTACAGATTTAGAATTAAAAAAAAAGTTACGTGCAAAAAATCTAACATAATTATTTGAAACGGCTGCCCTGTAGAGTATAATATTTGACAGATCTGCCACTATTCTACATTAAATAACGATTTGTTCATCCACCTCACCTGATGTTAAGTGACTACTGACGCCCATGAACAACTGCAATACCAACACAGGAGAATTGCATTTGTGTAGCCGGCCTTTTAGAAAGCAGTGTAGTAGTAGTAGTAAGAGTATATAAAAATACACACACAAGTGTAATAATAATCCTATATAATCAAATTTATTAATACAATAAAGAGAGTCTTATATAATCATTCGTTTGTTTAACTCCTCTCCTAACATTCGCCCTACAGGAGTAAGCTCTTTTTTTAAGGTGCCTAAGTCGTATCGGTCTGGAAAAATCGCCGGTGGTATACTATTACACAGAGAGGTCGTATCCGGAAGAAGACTCCCAGTGAAACTTTCAGTGATGAACCGCTAAGAATCCAGATGGTGTGTATGGGTATCCGAAATTTCACCTCGATGTGCGTTCATGATATTTGGCACGCTGGCGCGAGTGCGTCAAGGCAGCTCGCTGGCGTGAGTCCTCCGAGATAGCTCCCTAACGCGAGTGCGCGAAGACAGCTCGCTGGCGCAAGTGCGCCGAGACAACTCCCTGACGCGAGTGTGCTGAGGCAGTCCACTGGCGTGAGTGCGCCGAGACAGCTCGCAAGCGCGAGTGCGCCGAGGCCTTTGTCAATTCAGCTTACTGATCCATTTGTATATGTCATTAGTAACTCGGTTCTGCTTAGTATATATTTATTATGAATTCATAATAAATAGTTTTGACGAATCTACCACGCAAAGAAACTGAACGTCTTCTCCAACTCACTAAACGACCTTGAGATTTTTATAACGGCCAGCAGTTAAAGGCCACGCTTTACCATATGATAATATAAACTAGCTTCAACATTAATTATTTCAGAATAGATTTTTCCTTTACATAAATGTATGCCACGTGCCAAATAAAGCTTAAATATCACATCAAAAATCATCGTTTAATATGTTTTGCTGGATATACAGAAACCTAATTTATATCTATTTATGCACAACGAAACATTCCAAACGTTTCAAAATGTGTCAAAACTTTCTGTGGACACTTTTGCCTCTCTGATGTATATGTTTCAAATAAAAACAAAGTTTTAGAGGAAACTCAAACGGAGGTATGCGGTTTTCACAGTGATGAAAACACAACTTTTTTTAATTACGTTCATTATATAGCGTTTTTAGTTAAGAGAGAAATCCATGGTGGAATTAATTCTAAAGAATTCTTCAATACACCGACTATTAAATATATATTTAAAACAAGATATTTAAGTTCAAGTTATAGTCTATATACGTCCCACAGCTGCACAGGCCTCGTCTTATTTCTGAGAGTGTTTTAGGACAAATAAATGTCCGCCCCGCTGACCCAATGCGTGTTGACGATCTTTACATGTGTTAGAAAAAATTTTTTCCTATTTCATAGACATGCAGGTTTTTTAATGACATTTTCCTTCAATGACGAGCATGTGGTAAATTAACACTTAAAATTGCAAATAACAATTTCATTGTTGCCGACGAAGATCGAGCCAAGGTTGCTCGCGTACTGCGAAATTTACATCAGCTCAATATATTTATCACAGCATTTTAACAAACGAATAGTAAACTTATGTAGAACTTAAGGTCCGTATATTCTTATATAAGTTCACAGAGCTTCTTGACGCTTTATATTGTCATTTCAAAACAAAAATTTCAAAAGTTATAAAACGGTTACTTAACGGCATATAAAAATGCTTTTGTAAAGCCTTTAGTTTTAGTGCAGCAAACCACTACTCAACAGTACAGTTTTAGCTGTTTTCCGTGCATTGCATCTACAATAGAATTTTAAGTAGTAAATATATGCTTAATGTTGTTTAATAACATAAACGTAAACTATTACTAATGTTGCGTATATCTGCTATATAGTTTCAGGTTTTTTTTAGTGCCTGACGATAGTATTTTTAAGTATGGTGCGTTTCTAGGGCAGTCGGAAAAAAGTACACTGACCTCAAGTATTATGTTAGCATCGAAACAAAACGTCAGTTAATGCTTCCATATATTTCTTTATAGATTACGTATCGTTATGCGCTAAGCGTGTCTCATGGTACGGGGAAGGGTGAAGGAAGCGATCATTCAGAGATAATAAACCTGTTTCGACGCTATTTGCAATGGGTCTCACGCCGTACGTATTTAAGAAAGCGGATGGAGCAGAACAGAACTCATTCCTCATTCTGCTTTGTCTTACGTGTAGATAGTTTGAGATTAAAATTTTCGGTTATAGTAGTTGTTTTAATTAAATTAAGTTTGTTTTGTTAGTTGTATTGTTACGTTTTATTAAAGTTTTTTTATTTGTACGTTTTGTATATTACACTGTATTAAATAGAGTCCATCCACGTGAACATCTCATAAAGACTTTATGTTACCACGAAAGAAGCGAAAAGTGTCGCATATTTCGGAAACCGAAAAAATAACGGTTGTAAACATCCATAAATGTGTAAAAGAAACTTGGTCGGGTGACGTATATCCATCTAAAACGGATATGAAAAAAAAGACTGCCGATATTTTAGGTTATAATAAATGTTACGAACTCTTCTACGTCTTCATCATGATAAAATTATTCTAAAATAGTTACAGATGAATAGTCTGTCAAGTGTCTCTGATAATCTATTATGAGAAGTTTTGTGCATGCTTCAAGAGCCGCTAGCATTAAAAGTTCGTCTTTTTACCTGACTACCCAGAATTGGTTATATTTTATACAACTACCTAACTACCTACTTATTAAAGTACAGTACCTACTAATAACGTAATAATGAAAATTGTAATAACTCATGATTTATAAATAACAAAATTAAATTAATATTAATTTGCTTTTAATTCACTTAGGTACAGGATAATCTTCTTTCTTTATTATATAATAATAGACATAGGGCCTGTAAAGAACTTCGCACTCGGCACCTGGTGATGTATGTAATGATAAAAGGATAAAAGAATTAACCTAAACAAAAAGGATTGCCTACCCCGATGATATCGTCAAAGGTCAATGTACTTTTTTTCGCCTGCTCTAGAAACGTACTCTCTCTCTCTCTCTCTCTCTCTCTTCCTGGCTATGTGTCCCACATGGTGGTGGGGTCAGCCTTTCTTGTCTTACGCCTCCACTTCGCTCTATCCCTCGACTTCATTTTCGGAGACTTCGCACTCTCTCATGTCCTTTACCACTACATCTTTCCATCGTGTTTTGGGTCTGCCCCTGGATCTTCGACCTGGGATGGAAAGTTGTAGTGCCAAGTTCCCTACGTAGTCGGGTGGCCTCCCCTTCACGTGCCCATACCATCGCAGCCTACTTTCCTTCATCTTGTCAGCGATATCGCGCACGCCCAAGCTTCCTCGCACGTACTCGTTGCGGATTTTGTCGAGCTTGGTAACGCCGCACATACACCTCAGCATCTTCATCTCGGCAACTTGCATGGTATGCACATTCTTTTGAGTTACGGCCCATGTTTCACTGCCATACAATAGGACTGGTCTGATGATGGTCTTATAGATTAAACCTTTTAAGTTTGACCGGCATTCTCTTATCGCACCTGACACCAGTCACTTCTCGCCACTTTAGCCACGCTGCGGCTATTCGGTGCTGAATGTTAATTTCCAAGTCCCCAGAACCGCTTATCATACTACCCAGATACTTGTATTGATCACACGATTTGACCAATTGTCCATCGATGGAAATCGGACTGTTGTTTGTATCTGGGTCGTTGAAGGACATGAACTGAGTCTTTGCCACACTCAGCACAAGGCCACCGGTCTGTAACTGATGTTTCCACGACACGAGTGCCTCTTTCAAGTGAGCGCGGCTGTCTGTGCAGATGGCTACATCGTCAGCGTATATAAATGTCCACGTTGCTGAATTCTGTGCCGCTTCAGTGAGTGAGTCCAGAACCAAACAAAACAGAAAAGGGCTCAATACAGAACCTTGGTGCACTCCTTCTGTGACCGCTATCGACTTGGTCTCACCCACCACCGTCCGAACCATTGACCTCGCATCTCTGTACATGTCGGCAATGATGTTAACGTAGTGTTCGGGGACATTTTTCTTACGAAGGCTCCACCAGATCGTATCCCTTGGGACACGATCAAACGCATTTTACATGTCCAAAAATGCGACATATAATGGTCGGTTTTTCGCGCGATACTCCTCGACAATCGTGTTAAGAGCAAACATCGGATCCGTGGTAGACAATCCAGGTATGAAGCCATAGTGGTTCTTTTTGAAGGCATTTTTGAAGAGAACAACATACTGTTAAAGAAATCGGTTAGCAGTACGAGTCCGCGTGGACCTAAGCATTTCCAAGCTTCCGCTGGTATTCCGTCAGGTCCAATGGCTTTCTTGTTGGACATTTTGTGTAGGGCTTTCTTTACCTCATCAGGATGTATTGGAGGTATAAGTCCTGCATTCACTTCCAATCCAGGAAGTTGTGTGGCAGCTAGATGGGGTAGGGATAGTAGCTGTTCGTAGTAATGATGCCAAGCTGTTATGACATCATGGTCTTTATATAACAAGTCGCCATTTGGACCTTTGACAGTTTTACACCTGGCCGGATCCTTTGTGCTTTGACAACGCTGTTTTGCTAGCTTATATATACACTTTTGGCCTTCTTTTGTGTTTAACTTACTATAAAGCGTTTTCTGGGACTGCGCACGTTCTATGGCTATAACTTTCTTGGTAACTTTTTTAACTTCTTTGTACTTTTCCCGATCTTCTGGGGTTAAAGTGGACTGCCAGGTCTTAAAAGCATCTTTCTTTTCCCGTATTGCATCTTGCACCTTCTCTGTCCACCACCACGTCTCTCTGTCGGATTTTTTACCGCTTTTTGTACGGCCAAGAATGTTGTTTGCAGTAGTTATAATAGACTTACGTAAATGTTCCCATATGGTGTCAATATCTGATTTAACATCAACCTTTAAATCAGCAAGACGTTCACAGAACTCGGGAATTTTCTCACCTTTTAGGTTCCACCATTTGGTGAGATCAGGAATTTGAGTTGGTTTTTCCTAGGGATGTCCTTTGAATAGCACGTCCATTACAACAATACGGTGTTGGGGGGCGACGCATTCTCCTGGAATAACCTTACAATTTGTTACACGGCCAATGTGAGCTCGGTTGATTAGTATGTAGTCAATCTGTGAAGATGTTTGGCCGCTTTTATACGTGATCAGAAACGTACTATAGTAAGATAATACCTAATGCTACTTAACCCTTTCACTCGGCTACCAATCTAATCAGATCATACAAGCGTCGTCAATAGTATGGACTTGTACCGTTATAGTTCACTGTAAATCAGTAATACAGCTTTGAGCTGTTTGTAGTGCCTTTTGTTGTGTAATAGCACTTATATGTGGTAAGTAAAAGCTTAGTACTGTTGAATAACATAGACGTCAATCAATGTAATTCTTGCATTTGTAAAAATTAATTCAAGTTCTGTTTTACAGCTAACAACTCATTAATCAAACACATACGATTTATTGTAATACGCATAGCTGAATATACATTCATTTTACTGCATTCGTAAAACAATGTGTCGGCTATATTATGGGAAAAACAACAAACGCACATGTTTTATTGATTATATAAGTTTTATTAGAGTAGTGTTAGAGTAATGACACAATCTACATTAAGTCTACTATTATAACTGTGAACTCATATAGAACAACTTTATAGACAATGGAACTGCAAAGGTTTCTCTAAAGTTTTTTGTCTAGCCTCTAGCTTAATGACTTTTGACGTGTAAGTATTTATACTGCGGCATTAATTGGTCTTTTAAAAGGCTGACCGGGCTGCTATAGACCGACATCACTTTGTAAATATTTATAACCCCAAAATATTGTAAATCAGACCTATTTATATAAGCAATAAACCCATATACATTTAAAATATCTTTAGTTTTTTTCTTCCATCTGTGCGCGTGGATCCGAAAAAACTGCTGTTGGAGGGGGGTTTGTCCGAATCAAATTAAATTTTATATTTTTTTTATAAGCGAAACAATATATAATAATGATATAACTTAATTAACTTATTGTACTTGATACAATTTAAACTTAAATTAATTTTACTTCTTGATATAACTTAAATACTGCCCAACTAATACTATTATTTAAAGCAGAATTCATTCTATACAGGAATACGTAGATCACTCAATAAGTTTTGAGATGCTCGATATTTGAAAATGGAACGCACCCGTTTTATATGATTCTGAAAATCTAATTTATTTAAATATAGAACTCCATAAGCAAATTGCACAATATTAAAAAAAAATCTATTCGTTTTCCTGCAACGCTTCCCGCGCTTTTCATTTAAAACGATGGATCTTAACCGTGAACATTTGCCCCGCTAAGATCTATTATGATTTTAAATTTGGTTTAACCGAACAATTAAATTTACAACGGTTACAGTTAGCATAAGCTCCATCACGCGCAAAATTTTTTTAGGTTATTTGCTGAATTTAAAAGTGGTAAAATTAACCTTAAATTACCAAAGAACCGGGGTCCCGCAAACAGCAGTAACGGTAGAAAATGTATGCATTACTGAAATGTTGGCGCGGGAAGACCTACGAATCACATATACGGACGTCAAAAATACTGTAGGCATTAGTTCGGAGAGCATTAATATCATCCTACATTAAAATCTTGGAGTGAGAAATTTTCGATTGATCTCTCGTTTGCTCCCCCGAAAGAGAAAAACAGACTTGCGTGAGTTGGTGCCATGAAATGCGTCTATGTTTTGAAAACGAGACATCTAGTCGTGTTACAGAAATTGTTACTGGTGACGAGACATGTATCTATCAATATGATCCGTAAAATAAAAGGCAATCATCGGTATGGGTCTACTCAGAAGGACTATTACCGACAATAGTGCAAAGACCTCACAAAGTCGGCAAAAACATGGTGGCTGGTTTTTTTTTTTCGCGGAAAACTGTAGCTCAATCGACTCTGAATGGTATACTACAGTTGCATTCCCCAAAGCTTTTCAATCCGTGAGGGAGAGAAGACCAAAGACCTGGCTTCGGGGAATCATGCTGCATCACGATAACGCCTCTTCACGTACCTCCCTTAGAACAAAAGCATTTATTGAGGAATCTGGTGTTAAAACCCCTTGTGATTTCATTTTGTTTCCAAGATTCAAATAAAAAATAAAAGGCAAGTTTTGTTTCAAGCGACGAAGAAGTCGTGGCTGCCTACGAAGAAGGAATTTCCGACCTGTCAGATTGACAGGCTGACAAAAGTGTTTTCAGAGTTGGTTTAGGCGAACAGAGCATGATGGAGAATATTTTGAAAATGTGTAAAATAAATATTAATAGTATCTAGAATACTTTTGTACACTTGATATACTCAATATAATACTTTTTGTACATCTCAAAACCTATTGAATGTCATACGTACACAATTGTTTTGATTATTTCACACATATCTTCATTATAGTTTTATATCAAAACCAGAAAATATCGTAGGTGCGTGAAAATTTTCAATGAATCTTATATAAACATTTACAGTAAACTACACAGTGGAGTAATATTTTAAGGCTTAAAAAAGCAAAAGAGTCAAAATCTTTATTAATTTTGTTTTGCTGCTACCAAATACGATGGTGTCACATACTCAGCTTTGACCATCTTTCTTCGTCTATATATATTATATCACGAGAAAAATTAATTAGTTGAATTGCAGCTTTATTTGTATTAAATTAAGTGCCACGTTATAGAGACATTTTTGCAATGATTTAGGGTTTATTTAAGTCCTAACTCTAAACAACTAAATACCTCCAATCATTCGTTTATTACATTTAATGCTAGACTAATTCTTTTGTTATTCAATTAACATCTTCTTTATTAATAATATTGCTAGTATAATACTTTTGTAAAGCGACTGACAACTTTATTGACTACAATAATGTTTTTAATGAAATCTATACCTTCTTTATCCACAATATATAATACAATGCAATTAGACAACTACTGTGAACCTATTTTAGATCTTAAGCCGTAATATTTGAAATGACATTCATTCGCAAATATTGTTTAAAGAAAAATATAGATTTTTCGCAATCACAACCTTGGACGTGCCCATGATATATACATACAAAACGTTAGAACAGAGTATAAAAGTTAGAACAGAGTGTAAATAGTGAAACGTAATATTATGGAAGATTAACCAAAAAAAATACAAGCTAAAATTAAATCTAAATCGGTTTGTCGCACCCTTATTTCTGTTTCGGTTGCATTAATTGTTCGGTCACTACAATTTTTGCGCGACGTTCAAACCTATTTAATCGTTTACGTTTCACCCACATCTATAATTAATATTCTGTACGCTCGTAATGGATTTCTTTATTATTGTTTGTAAATTTTTAATTTCTCGTAAGCGATTTGTAATCTTTTAAGAAATAAAAAAATATCTGAAACCTAAACAAAATGTGCCCAAATAAGCATTACAGAAGCCGTATGAACGTTTATAATGCTACTATAAAACTAGCTCAAAATGTAAAGAGATAAAGAAATGCTTTAAGTCGGCCATTATACTGCTTTGATGTGTACTTGGGAAGTCTTATGTTAGATAAAACTCTTAACATTTCAAATAAATGTACACTAATTATTGTTAGTAGACATGAATTTATAAAAATTAATTAGATGTAAATACAGTATATATTCTAAAATAAATGATGTTTGCACAACAAACTTTACAAACAGCAACATAGCTCATCACAATGCGATATAAAATGGCCTCACTGCAATATAGGTGATGCTGATTTCTTTGCTGGCACTAAAAAAAATACTACGACGGATAGAATGACGACAACAATATATACTCGTTGAATTACCCAAACTAGTTATCTTCGCAGTTCTTTATAGTGCTTGTACGATAGGGGGAGGTTATTCGCTTATTAGTAATCTACCATCTTGCTTGCTGTGATGTGACAGTTTTGTAATGGAACAAAGTTTGCAAAGTGGGATCCCAAAAACAGTTATTACTTACAAGGTTTGT